CGTCGCACAAAGTCCTGTGGGATATCTGTCCATATCTGCTGGAGCATGTTTCGAAGTTCCTGCAGGGTCTGTGGAACACGTCGAAGGTTGTCTCTCCATCTCATCCCACATGTGCTCGATTGGTGAGAGATCAGGGGAGCGAGCCGGCCAGGGAATGACATTCACGTTGTTTTGTTGAAGAGAATCCTGAACAAGTCGAGCAATTTGAGGCCGGGCGTTGTCATGTTGAAACGTCATGACCGGGCCATGACGACGCAAAAACGGTAGAACAACAGGGCCGATGATCTCATCGCGGTAGTGCTGTCCATTGAGATTTATCTCTACCACTATCAAATAGGTCCTCTGTCTTTCTGTAATCTCACCCCATACCATAACGCTGTCTCCCCCGAACCGATCTTCTTCCATGACACAATGATTGACGTAACGTTCACCTCGACGTCGGTACACTCGAATGCCTCCATCGCTGTGGATGAGGTGAAAACGAGACTCGTCAGTGAATAGAACTTGTCCTCAGTGCATGACCGTCCAGCATAGACGCTGTCTGCACCACTGTAGACGTGCTTGAAGGCCAGAGATGCTTCTTGCAGTCACTGTTGCTAGCTGGAATCGATTTCGTAGGTGTGTTGTTCGAATCAAGTTGTCTTGTCGATTATTGGTTGACTGCATTCGTCTGTTGCCAACGTTGCCTTAAACATCAAATGGTGTTCCTGTGGACATTAAATTGTCTTGCAACATCACGTTGACTCGATCCTGCTTCAAGCATACCAATGACACGCAGACGCTCATTTTCGGACAGGCGTTGTTTTTCGTAATGTTGAATAGTTACGTAATTTTGTTGTTTTTCTGAGTGGTTGTTGTCAGCACGATGCTAAACAATGCATATGGAATCCCGTTAACGCACATGTTTTCATACCCATGCTTGGGTAGGGAAATGCATGGGACTTGCATAAAAGTCATCTTTTGCATGGAATACATGCTTTTCTGTAGCAGTTGGGGTTTTTGTGATTTGATTTCCTTGCATGTACTACAATATTGAAAACCAGACTTTACTTGTTTGAAAAATACACTAAAATATTGGTGTCACAGGAACTTTTGTTGTTGAGTATATTAACAGGATGCACAAAACCAACAAGTAAATTACGTGTGAGATTATATATACTCCTATCAAGTAACAGAAATATCATGTCTGTGTAGTCAATAATAACACGGCGCAGACCATGTGATAGTGAAGTGTGAACACACACAGACACGCCCTCTCGGTAGTTTACCCTCTGCAGTTCGTGTAGACACGGTACTCGGGGAACATAGTCTCTATGCTTTCCTTTGTGCAGTGTATCTCTAGAAGACCAAAGATATTGTGATCAGTGCAAATAAACTTCAATAAAACTTCATGATTTATTCTATCAAATGCCTTTGAAAAATCAACGAGGATGCTATAAAATCTACCATTAGTTTTTGGAGAGATATTTGTGCAAATGCCTGTAATGCCAAAAAGTGATCAATATAAAATTATCCGGATCTAAATCCAGCTTAAGGGCTTAATATTCGTGTATAATATTATTAATGTCACACCAGGATTGTAATATTTTATCCAGAATATATGTCAGAACTTTGCACAGTGAGTAAATAAGAGATATGCCCCTGTAATTATCTGTAATATAAAACAAGCTACATACATCAATGTTTGTTGATTCATGCACATGTCTACATGCTCGTTGAGAGGTCAGATGAAGTGAAATGAGGGTTAACGTCACATTCACTTCCCTAGCTACTCGCACTTTGTAAAGGGTCATGCGATTATTCATTTGACCGTTTACACATATGCTAGTTTTGTCGCGGTACCTCATAGTACACATTATCCTCGACAGTGGATATACATGCATATAGTGCTATTCGTCCTTGATATTGCTTCCTGTATAAGGATAGAGTTCACATGGTCCAAAGCAGTGCTTCCTATACATATATATAGTTCACATTATCACAGAGGGTGCCTCCTATACCCGCATATAGTTCGCATCGTCCATGCGATACCATGCTGCTGACCAAAGCCCTAGAAACTCGCACAAGCCATGCTGCCAAACACTGTCACCCTTCCATCAACTTTCCACGAGCAACGTTGCTTAACGTCGCCTGATTTGTGACCTGTGCTTTGTACACGGGGTGCCGTACAATCAATAATGTGAACTATATGTACGCGAAGGACAATGTGGGTTATTATACATGTACATATGTAATTATAAATAAACATATATATACATATTAGGAAACTCTGCCTGGGACGATGCGAACTATATGCGGGAATAGGGGGCACACTCTGTGATAACTATATACACGAATAGCAAGCACTGCGTTTGTAGAAAGCACTGACAGCGACAATGGGAAGTATATAAATGAATAGGAAGCGCTGTCTGGAATAATGTAAACTATCTGCGTGTGTAGGAAGTACTTGCAGCGAAAATGGGAAGTGTAATACGTGTATGGGAAGTATTGTCACAATGTGAGCTATACACTTACTGAAAGCACTGCTCGGAACAATGAGATTGTATGGAACATGTATTGTTAGAAACAATATGTATCTAGGCCCTGGATACTATGTCATCATACCAAACATTAACACAAATGTGAAACGTATCAATGTACCAATCAGCCTACCAAACGGTAGATGAATAACACCAAACCAACAAATTAAGAGACAATGAATCAGAAATTCAAAAGAGAACGTGTTTATTACAAAACGGTTGAAAAATTAACAAATACAATTGATTGTTATATATGATATAACACAAGTAATGTTCAATATTGTTTCTATTAAAGATGATATACGAATCTTCACACATGATCACACATATATTGATAGTTGCTTTAAGCACCACATCAACAATATATTATACAATATCATACAATGACAAAAAATTAAAAACACCTCCTTTATAGATCGATGAAATAGTGCAAGTCATACATATAGAATATGTTTATGTCCTTGACGAATAAATTATACAATGCCATAAACATATACTGCCAATAATAATGCTACTTGTATTCTTTGATTAAACGCTTTGATGGTGTAATTGATGGATTTACTAACTTAATTGGTTACTAATTCGTTTTCTTCTCATGAAGTGTAGGCATTATAATCAGGTATAATGTTAACTGACATTTCCGTTAATAATTCCAGCATTATTAGTGAAATGCCATACCTAAATGTACTTGGCATTACATATTTAGTATGAAGACAGTTGAACACAAATGTCAAAAATGTAATGTATTCTGTGATTTAGGCATCTTACAAACCAGGACTAGTAGTGTGGGCTATACATGGTGGAACACCAAAATGTTATGTTTCAAGTCTTCGGGGTTTATTTGTTGAACTTAAGGGTAGGCCAAGCAACCTCTCATCTCCGCCATTTGGTTAAATCGATTGTTGGAAGATCTTTGCAGGGTATCAAAGGATTGCTGTGAAATACAAAAATGTGTCACCCAGTTAAAATATTAACATTTCCGTCAGCATATTTCATATGATCTGGTTTGATATTCGTATCCGATATAACTGAATGAGCTTGAATATGTTACATTCAAAGTGTGTCACGAGGTGTAAATGGATCCAGGATACAATTCTGATTAATGTTCACTAAATGAAGTACGCCAGATATACCCTGTCGCATGTTAATATGAGGTCTCGCTGTGCGAGATAATTAATTACTGACGAACAAATGAGATGAATGTCTTCATTGCCTACCTTTCTTTTGAGTACACTGTAAAAGGATCTCTTTGGATGGACTTCACTCCTGAATTCCTACAAAGAATTTTGGCAAAGCGCATTCGTCGGATCTCAGACAGTTGTCCTGAAATAGAAAGCGCAATAAATATTTATATATACAATTACTTCTGACAGCAAGAGAGTATCTTTTTTCCAAACTATTGTCAGTGAAACACTAAAACATTTTGACATCTTGAATTAGAAATGCAATAAAATTCATATTATGATATAACATTCTCATCTTAAAGGCATATTAAGTTATCTCATAAGTACATAGTTTGACATCAACAAAATAGTTTAACAAAACATACAAGCACACAGGAACAGACTGGACGGTACCTAATGTAAAGCCCTTTCTTGGGTGGGATGTTTCGAACCAGAATGAGTCGCCATATTTCAGGTCATGGAACTGTTGACCAATCAGACAAGCGAGGAGAGGGCCCACTGCACCGCCATGCACGTGCTGTTCAGCTACTGCACCGGTGAAGACGTCGATGTCATCAGGGGATCTGAAGCAAGAATACATAAACGTAAGGAGATATTGAGAAATGTCAAATAAGGGTTAAAGTATCTTTATTTAATAAATTTGTTACAATAACTCTGTACACATATAAGAGTAAATTAAATTAGACAAACCTGTATACACTTTTCAAAGCAGCTCCTGCTTTACCAAATATACTGTCATCAAATGAAGTCACTTCCGATAGCTGACATGCCTTGCGGAAGCTGTTGTATGATGGCAGGCCGTGGTCACGACCTCTCTGAATGTTCAAGGACACGATGTCAAAGCCATTATTGCCCGACGTCTCAAACAAATGCTCAGTCATCCCACTGTTGATGAAGCGGTTAACTTCCTGATGTCTGTCCTTGAGGATAGCCTTCAGCACGGTGTCCAGATCTTTGATGACCTCAGAAGGTCGGAAGAAGAGCAGTTCTATGGGTACACGTCGATCTCCGAGGGTCAGGAAACGTGGAATGGTGGAGTGGCCGTATCTGAAGGCGGCGGTGGCGAAAACGTTGTAGATGGTGGGGTTTTGGGTGATGTTGTACCTGAAGCTGAAGCCAGGTGTCAGTCTGTACTTCATCATGGCCAAGGGCCCAACAATAATGGGCAGCCATTCGCGGTAGGTGACTTGTTGGATGATGGCTGACACGATCTTTCTGGCCTCCTCAAACAAGACATCATCAGGAGTGGTCGATGGCATGACTTGAGCAAGTTCTTTGACAAGACGATTGTGTTCTCGGACAAACACGGTGTGTAGCACGGCCAGACCAGGGAACACGTTCACACGGTCGTCACCTGATGATGGAGTTAGTTATAAAGAAGTTGTGACAGTGTTGTAAATTAACCATATCATTCGAAATTTACCCAATAGTCATGTGTGAAGTACAATATGAACAGATTCTGAAAAAAAGTACTACGGATACATTAATAAGTTGTATTTACCAGCTTCAAAACACCATTCGTTGGTATTGCTTGTTCGACAGTTGCCTTGGTTGGATTCTGGCAACAGGTTATCTCCCTTGATTTTCATGTAGGCTGAAAAGTTGAATGACGACATTAATTTGTTTATACCAATCACTCTCTGGGGTATTTTGTCAAATTTTAAAATATTTGTTTGATCATGAATTATTATTTAAAACAAAATATTGCCTGACTTACGTCCATTCCTGAGATGATTGATCTGATCCTGACTGAGGCCGTACACGTTAGAGGCGTCAACAAAGGACGTCAGTAGGTTCAACTGTTCTCGAGTATCTGGAAGTCACATGGTTTTTAATTAAATATGGATGTTATCATACAGTGTTGTTTATGGCTTTCGTTACTTAATAAGATGAGCATAAAATAATGACAGAACAATCCTACGTTGAGATGAGGCTACCTTCACAGCCTTGTATTTATATACTCACTCCTTCCAGGTGCTGGGGCTGATCTTTTGAACTCCATGCAGTTCTTTTGGAAATGTCCTTCATTTACTGGCATGGTGATTGGGAAACAAGGACCGCTGGAACAGTGAAATACCAAAAGAATTAACACGTTTCCTATTTCCAATCAACCATTGTTATCATAATGTTTATGATATGTTATGATACACAAACACATGCTTATAATGTAGTCGATATCTTATAGTAGACTTTTATAATCATGGAAAAGGTAGTCTCTCTTTCATCCTTATTATAATCATGTATACAATGTCACGTAATTTTAAAGTATATTATTTCTGATTCATTTATTTCAAATATCACGACTAGTTATTTCCATTAACACAAACAGAATGATTAAGTGTGGAAAATATAGAATGTTAATTGCTTACCCAGCTCGTACATCAGAATGCATCTCTCCAGGTGTGTGACCATCGCAACATTTAGATTGAACATCACCTTGAAGGAATATGAGGATTTGTTAAGTTAATACAAAGATTTAGATGCATATCGTAATTATTGAAATAGGTTCGAAAAATATGGATCACAAAAACAAATATATCACAGTTTGTCTGATTTCATCATCACACGTCTGGTCACTGTGATGGTCAGAGGGTATTGGCCATTTGGCACCTACCTGCATGGAGAGGAGTTCCGGTGAGATCGTGGTCCACAAACTGCCCCCACTGCATCACCATCACCGTGTGGTCGTCAGAAGGACTGTCAACTCCCGGATGGACGGCCACACTGATGGCGCGTGGACTGGGAAGGGGATAACCATCAACGCCTCTCATTCGGGGAACGAACTTGCCTGAAAAGTCAAACCTTTGCTTTTAAAGTTCACTAAAGTATGGTTAGTTGTGATATTGATGGGGCATAACTAAATGTCCCCATTAGAATACTTACAAGACTTGCTTCCAAACGGTCTGATTTATTTATGAAAATCGCCTTCGTTATAAGCATGAAATAATGATTTTTAAGTTCTAATATCAATGCGAAGAAAATCTGTTCTTTACCATCATCATATGCAGGATCAATAAATCTCTTGAATGGTTGGTTGGTTGAACCCCAGGTTGGCCAGCGAGCATTGTTGCAACTTCCGTCCATTGTCCGGTAGCGGGCGTCTTGTCTGCAGTCGATAGAGCGCCGTCTGTTAAAGTGAATGGTGTTATCACGTCTAATGATAATTGGTGTAGGTATCAACTATATTAAACTCTCAACCACAAACGAAGTGTCCATATATGAGAATTAGTACGAAACTGACCTGATGGTGTGTTTGTCTTGATACTTGGATGTGCTGATGTCTTCTATGGAAATCTGAGACGTCTCGGCGGCGTCAGCCAGTGTACAAACAACATACTTGTCTTTGTCATCACCTACGTCAAAGTAAAGGCATTAATACACTGCTTACTATCATGGGATAATTTCAGAGTACTTTAACTTCGAAAGTCTGATCAAAGGTCGCACCATCTGAACTGGATGATGTTCTATATTGAAAGGATGTTTGAGAACGCGTATCAGTATAATATTTGTTTTAAATAATCGGAATTTGTCATCTGTATGTCCCATATGCAATAAATCCTCTGAAACATATAAGTTTAAGTATGATCAGATTTGACAGTTAACCCAATAGACAAATCTTGGATTGTGATGCCGTCAATGTTGAATAATGAGACTTCTTACCATGCAGGAGTCTGAACAAGATGTCCATTATTCTGTTTTCTCTGTCCAGCGTTTGTCCATCAACTATTCCTTGGTGATCACCCCAGGTCGTTGGTGAAGTTTGTGTCGCACCAGCAACATCTAATAGGAAAATAAGTACAGAGTATAGAGAAATAGAGCTGTCACAGATTATGAATGCAATCACAAAAACTTTCATACTTCGCCACCCCATATTTTGTTCTATCGAGTGGCGTTAAACCGGGTTTTTGAATCCGTCTGGAAATATCAACACAAGTCATTGCATGTGCATCGTTCAGGGTATACCCAAACACATATTTATTCATCTTATCTCTCAATCTTAGAATTCAAGAGAATATCATTATCTCCAACAATCGTTTCTTCAAATGTGTACCCCGAAGTGTTACAATGTAACCGGTGTGAACTTACTGTTCGTTGATGACTCATCAGTGACATCGTCAAGGAATTTCGTGTTCATCTCATGATCCATTCCAACCAGATCTGATTGTATTGCCTTGACTGAAGGAAAGGTAGTTTAGTCAAACAACTAGTATCACAAAATATAATATCCGTACATTAAAACATTCAAACTATATTTAGTGACATTGATTTCATCAAAGGTCCTTCTCAACATTGAAGGACTAAGCATAATAGTAAGTAGAAAGTTGGCATTTTTAACACAGATATCTCATTATTTCAGCATATTACATGATGCCAGTTGCGTGAGTAACGCACAAGCAGATGAAACTAAAATAGTATTATTCAATCCTTCACTATAGCTTGTCAAGATTTGGTTCATAATTTTTAAAACACTATACTCACGTTGCTCAATGACGGAATCTATGTGGTTAACCTATAAGGGAATGAGTAAACATAGGTTAAATAATCGGTCTAGGGTAAAACAGATGTGATAATCTCAAACACCGTATGCCACCCGTTACTTTGAACATGATGAGAGAAAGAAGTTTCAGAACAATAAACCCAGAGTAAGTAATTACATGACATTTCTTATATATACTGATTTTCTACAGACATTCATGACTAGCCAGATAAATACCAATACTGATAATGAGAAGAAAAGATTAAAGAAGAAACAAAACACAACCTACCTCTGTGTCCGCCTCTACAGCAGTGACCACGGTCAACATACCAACAAACAACACAACTTTCATCGTTTCTGCTTCTGTCCAGTACAAAGTGGGAATGTCTGATACACCAAAGATGGGACCTTGTATTTATACTCATATTCCTGGATTAAATCAACACAGATCACCCTAGAATTCACACTCCCCTGCTGGGTATTATCCGACATATCTACATGGGGGAGCTAAACATCTTGGATTATGCGGAGGCAGGCTGATTATCCCGGAGCAGCGTCATCACCGCCATTGTTCTTGGTGTGGTGTATAAACATCAATAACGAGGCAGTTGGTAACTGTTTCCCACCAGGGGGTATTATCAGAGGGCATTGTTGAGATTATATATAATAGTAACATATTAATAATAACTGAAACGGGAGAAAATGTAAGTTTCTTGTTAATTGACTAAAAATACTAATAAAATCATTCATGTTTCGCACAATCTCTATGAACTTCTCCATAAAATATGTCACGCGACCCTTCGCTTGAGATATGTAGTTCTTTTAGCTTGAACATCACAAGAACCTTATCAGTGTATTCGCTTTAATGGTACTCATGTTTTTGTATTCGGTTTTGCTATTGTAATCGCTAAACTAATGTACTTTGAGAACATATATTCAGTACACCATCTCTCCCGAATTCATTTTTATTCGCAGTTAAGTAGTAGTAGTAGTAGTGGTAGAGGTAGTGGTAGTGGTAGTGGTAGTGGTAGTGGTAGTGGTAGTGGCAGTAGTAGTAGTAGTAGTAGTAGTAGTAACTTTCTAGAATTATAATTGAGATATGTATGTACCACATAAAATATACGACTGGACTTCGTGTTTATGAATAAGTGGAAAATTTGCAATTACATGTAATTGTCAGTTCCTATTAGCAATATCGATGATTGACAATTAGTTTAAAAAGTTGATCCTATATGTATTATTTCATTACATTGAGGGACTAGAAAATCCTCCAGACACAAAACGTAGTGACCACTTCAATGCATTTGTCTCCCAGTACTTGTCTGCAAAGCTTGTCAAGAACAACTCGTGATGAGAAGCGGATTACCAACGGCCTCATTATTATTATACCACTCTTTGAACAATTACAATTGATGACGACACGCCCAGATCAACACCATTCATTTATATAATCCCTGATTCGTGATGAAAGCAAGATGAAAGTCTATCATGCATTTTCATCAGCGTCAGTGGATTACGGGATAAACTGTTTTGTTTATTCAACAAATATGACTGTCTAAATATGTAAGAACCATGCCCGATCTATCCACTCTCATATGTCAAATATTAAGACAATCATTGCTTTTTAGAGCAACATACATGTGCATCTGTATCCATCAATAGCACGTTCAGTGCTCTAAATACATAGCTGTCAACCCCTGGATGTCTAAATGAGTGAGAAGCCAGGGTGCAGGGGCTGCAAGCCCCGCTGGGTCCAGGGCTAAACCCTGGTGGGGGGCGCAGGGGGGCGAAAACTGGTTTTGAATGATTTTAAGACCATTTTAATGGACTTAGAGAGCATGTATTCTGAAAAATTATATTTTTATCTACTTTTTATATGAATGCGTGAGAATTTCCCAACCTTGCGTGCGAGCGTGACATAGGTGATAAATGCGTGAGACTCACGCGAGATGCGTGAGAGTTGACAGGTATGTAAATATATTTGATGTATCTTTATAAAGATATACATGAATTTACTTGCTTTTATGTGCCCATATATGCCATTTTCGCTGGACAACACACCATCTATATTGACATTTTTAATATATACATGAATTAGTATATGCACATGATTACGGTATGTCGTGTGTCACAACAATAAACTATATTCTTATTGTATTAAAGAATCAGATCAACGGAAGAGCACCGACGCACTACCACTTCTCATCATGTTCATTGACAACTGGATAATGAATGATTATAGTCACATCAT